TGGCTCCCGAGATTGAGCGCCTGTTTGAGAGCGTGGCCCGCTCCTGCGCGCCGGAGCTGGCCAAGGGGGCCGCGGTGCCGCAGGTGGCGGCGGGACCCTAGGGGCCCAGCCCCCGGGTGGAACCGCGCACGGCAATGCGCCGGCGCTGCAGCCTGGCACGTACAGGTGCCTGCGGCGAGGGTCCAGGCGCGGGCACTTCTCTCTGGCTCTGGCTGGCGGCGGCGGAGCTGGGCTTGCGCAGGGGCTGCGCCTTGCAGGCGCCAGCCAGCCGCTGCCAGCCGGGCTGCCCGCCCTGCCACCGCCTCCCAGCGCGTGCCGGCCTGCCCCGCTGACTGGCCCCGCTGACTGGGGATGCCCCTGGGTGGGCGCTCGACGGCAGTTTTCCCCCTTCCCTCTGCTGCTATCATGCTTCTGTGGCGTTTGCACCGGCTCGGCTTTTGTGTTTGCTGTTTGTGCTCTGTAACCCAACACTGATGCTGGACACGACAACACTGTAAACTAGGGCACCCCGACCGAGCCTTTCCCTGGGATGCAAAACCTTGGCAAGGCCCGGGCGGGAGGAGCGGCAGCAACGCAGCTGTCGGCGCGTTGCAGACGGCGCTCCTCATCTGTCGCGCCAGCGTAGAGACCCGTGCACACGTTCAGAACTGCAAGAGGGCGCCCACCCCCGCCCCTCGTAGGAGGGAGGGGGCCAAGCCATGTGAAAGGCGGCGCGGGTACCACTTACTTGCTTGCCTGCCAGCTGGCCGGTACCTCGTGAACTGTGGCCGCGGGCCGCTTGTTTGGCCTCATTTCGTGGTTGGGTGCACACATCACGGCCTGCCTCATCAGTGGGTGTACACAGCGAGCAGCGCAGTGAACACCAGCGGAAGCCCTCCATGTCGGCGAAAGGTAAGGCTTCTGCTTGGTTGAGCGCAGACAGGATCGACCTGCCTGCGAAGCGCAACCTGCTGGCGCTGTTGCCGCGGCTTGCTGCCCCTCCTGAAGTGCCGCCCGCTGCCACCGCCACCTCCTGCCGCCGCCACCTGGCTACCTGCAGAGGAGGACGTCGCTGTTGGCGATGGCAGCCTGGGTGGCTTTGAGTCGGTTGAGAAAATCCTGGAGGTTGGTTGGTGCTGCTGCTAGCTGCTGTTTGCAAGTGTCGCGCCTCACCACGCGGCGCCTCACCTTGCCCCAGCCCTCTCCCATTCCGATCCGAGCAGGCATACATCCCACCAGACAAGCTAGCACATGTGCAACGCATCCTGTATGGCTGGAACTGCGGCAAGCCAGTGGCGCCCCTGCCGCTGGCGCGCGAGCTGGCGGCGGCAGCAGCAGCCGCCAACTTTGACCTGCAAGCCTACCGCTTTGGGGCAGCCCCCGAGCAGCTGCGGCCGCTGCGCATCATGCGGGTGGGCCTGGTGCAGCACGGCATCCAGCTGCCCACCAGTGCGCCCTTTGCGGAGCAGCGGCAGGTGAGGCGGCGCGTGCGCCACGGCAGGCCCGCACACACAGATGCATGCAGCACCGCAGCCCGCATGACGTGGCGCGCCCTGCCCCCGCCCCTGCAGGCCATCCACACCCGCGTGCGGCAGCTGATGGATGCGGCTGGGGCGGCGGGGGTGCAGGTGCTGTGCCTGCAGGAGTTCTGGCCCTGCCCCTTCTTCTTCTGCACCCGAGAGAGGCAGTGGCTGGAGCTGGCGGAGTCGGCGGAGGAGGGCCCCTCCACGCGGCTGTGCCAGGAGCTGGCGCGCAAGCATGGCATGGTCGTCATCAGGTGCCGGGGTGGCGTGTGGTTGCCTGGAGGAGAGCCAGCAGGGCATCTGTGATGCAGCCCAGCGGCGGATGGAGCAGCTGGCATGGAGCGGCACGTGCAAGGGAGCGGGGAGCGGCTCCCTGCGGCCTGGCGTCACCCGCCCAGCCTCCCCGCCTCCCGCCCCCCCCTGCCCCCTCCCCTGCCGCAGCCCCATCCTGGAGCGGGACGAGGCGCACGGTGGCACGATCTGGAACACCGCCGTGGTGGTGGGCAGCAACGGCGGCGTGATTGGCAAGCACCGCAAGAACCACATCACCCGTGTGGGCGACTTCAACGAGTCCACCTACTACATGGTGGGTGCCTGGGTGGTGGTGGTGGTGGGTGGCACTGTGACAGAGATGTGTAGCTGGCGCGTGGTGGCGCTCAGCCCCGCATGCGCCGCTCGCCCTGCAGGAGGGCAACACGGGGCACCCGGTGTTCGAGACGGCGTTTGGCAGGATTGCGGTCAACATCTGCTACGGCAGGTGGGCGATAGTGCGGCCAGCCAGCCCCGCGGGCGGCGGGGAGCCGCCAGGCGTGGGCCGCCGTCCATGCCATGGGCCGTTGGCATCCCCCCGCCGCCGCCTCGCCCTCCCTGCAGGCACATCCCGCTAAACTGCCAGGCCTTTGGTCTGAACGGCGCCGAGGTGGTGTTCAATCCCTGCGCCACCGTGGAGGGCTTCACGGAACCGATGTGGGGGGTGGAGGCTCGGTACGCAGCCATAGCCAACAGGTGCGCTGGGCCCCTGCTGCCGGCCGCTGCCGGGCGGCGCAGCCAGCGGGCAAGTGCCGTGCTGGCGCCTCCTCTCTGTCGCACAGCGGAGCACACTCCTGTACCAGCGTCCTGGCTGGCTGGCTGCTCCCAACCCACCCTCCTTGTCCCGCCCCCACGCCTGCCCCCTGCAGCTACTACATGTGTGCCATCAACCGGTGGGCACCGAAGTCTACCCCGCACCCTTCACCAGCGGCGACGGCAAGCCGGCGCACAGGGTGGGCGGCGGCGGCGGCGGTGGCGGTGGCGTGGTGCAGCGGGGGCTGCGGCCATGGTGGCGCTGCCCAGCAGCCCGGTGCTTTCACACCCACCTTGAAACAGTTGCGAGGCGTGTCAGCTGCCTGCCGCTCACGCCCTGGCGCAACCCTGCCCCTCCCGCTGCTGCTGCTGGCCCTGGGGGTGCGCAGGACCTAGGCCCCTTTTACGGCAGCAGCTACGTGACGGCCCCCGATGCATCGCGCACGCCTTCGCTGGCGCGCAACCGTGACGGCCTGCTGGTGGCAGACCTGGACCTCAACCTGTGCCAGCAGGTGCGCGCCAGGAGGGGGCGGCGGGAGGCGGGGAGGTGCTCCCTGGGGGTGGGCGGCGCGTCTGCCGCGTCCTGTCAAGCAGCGCCAGCCCACAGCTTCCACCTGCTGGCCTGAGATGCAGGTCAAGGACCGGTGGGGCTTCCAGATGACCTCGCGGTATGAGATGTACGCTGAGCAGCTGGCGCGGTACGTGCGGCCCGACTTCACTCCGCAAGTGATCAGGGACCCGGCGCTGTGAGCTGGGCCGACTCCAATCGTATACCTCTCAAATTCCTGCACGCTCCCTGTGAAGCAAATTTAACTGTCAGTGCTGAATCGGCCTGAAAAGCTGCGTGTGGCGATGATTTCAGTCTACTGTGGCGGCAGAGGGCGGTGCTGTGAGCGCTGGGGCGGCAGCCATGTCGGCCTCCCTGTCCACGCATTCAGGCTAGCATATATCACTGTTTCGCAATACAATTGCGGTCTGGGGGCCTCCGGGAATGGATCCCTGCCTGTCAGTGAGGCAGACAGCGGCCCATGTGGCCTCCACAGCCAGCCTGGTGACCATCGACGATGCAGGTCGGTGGCTGCGAATCCATCGTGACAGTCGCTCAGGGTCGCGAGCCGCTGCAGGGAGGCCGCACCCGCCGCGCCGCCGCCGCCGCCTCTCGCCACCGCCTTTCCTCTCCCGCCTTGGGTGCAGCCATCCAGCGGCTGGCGGCCTCCTTGGACGATGTGGCGTCCATCGCAGCAGGCGGCTTCGACCACCAGCTGCACTACTGGGATGCGGAGCAGCCGGATGCGGTGGCGCAGTACCTGCTGGTGGTGGACGCACTGGTGAGCTGGCGTGGCGCTGATGTGGCGCTGATGTGGCGCTGATGTGGCGCTGGTCTGGCTCCCTGGCGACATGGTGCTGCCCCCCTCCCCGCCACAACAACATGCCGGATGGCGGGCGGTGCCTGGACACCCCCCGCAGAACTTCTGCTTCTGGCCTGATGCGGAGCTGGAGTATGAGCAGCTGGCGGGGGGCCTGCGGCGGGCGCTGCTGGCCGACCCGCGCGCCCTGGATGCCGGCAGGCTGGCCGTGCTGGATGGCGCGGACGTGCGCCGCCTGCTGCAGTGGCCGCGCCCGCTGCCGCTGGAGGAAGAGCGGGCCAGGCTGCTGCGGGAGGTGGGGTGGGGGCGGGGCAGGGGAGGCGGGGGGGCGGGGGCACGCTTGTGGGCAGGGCCGGATTGCGACTTCCTGCACTGCGCAGGTGCGCTCTCGCGGTTTGCCGATTGGTTGGGCTGTTGCCCGAAAGTGCAGGTGGGCGCCGCCCTGCTGGACCTGTATGGAGGCCTGGCAGCCAACCTGGTTCGGGCGGCAGGCGGGTCCGCTGTGCGGCTGGTGCGGCTGACAACCGCGGCATTTCCCGGCTTCAGGGACCATTGCGTGTACGGGTGAGTGCAACAATGGATCATGATGCAGTTGCATTGTGCCTGCAACTGGTGTCCCCCCACCAGACCTCCTTCCCCTGGCCTGCAGCGGGCGCCAGCTGTTCTTCTACAAGCGAGCCCAGATCTGGGCGGGCGACCTGTACGGCTGCTTCCGGGGCCAGGGCCTGGGCGCGTTTGCCGACATCGGGCAGCTCACCATGTTCGCAGGCGAGCGCCACGCCCGCTCATGTGCTGTGGCTGCTGCCGCGCATGCCCCTGTGGCGGTCTCCTGGTTGCATGCGTCGTGCCTGCCATGACTGAGGCAGGCAGGCAGGCAGGTCAATGCGCCCAGGCGGCGCCGACGGGCCCGCCCTCCCTGCCTGCCGTTGCCCCTCGCTGCCCGCCCCCTTGCAGACTACCGCGTCCCGGTGGTGCTGCGAGAGCGGGGCATCCTGCTGTATGCTGCGCCGCTGGCGGCGGCCGTGGATGGCGGGCGGGAGCTGGCGGCGGGGGGGTGCGAGGAGGTGGAGATTCGGGGCTGCACCATTGCTGCAGTGGAGCGCCTGCGGGACGCGCTGGCGGCGAGGCTGGAGGGCGAGGGGCGGGGCGCGGAGGCGGCGCAGCTGTGCAGCGTGAAGCTGGACTGGTGGCTGTGGGAGGAGGGGGAGCGGGACCTGCACCGGCACCGGCCCCACCACCGCACCCTGACCGTCTACTACTGACCCAGTCGCTCTGTGCACATGTGATGTCGACGTGGTGGAACCACGCGACGGGTGGCAATTGCACACACACACAGTAGGGCGGGGGTGGCTGCTAGTAGGGCGGCGGCGGCTGCCGCTGCGGGTGAGCGCTCTCCGCAGGGGCGGCCGCTGCCTCCCTGCGCCCTTGGCCGCGCGTGGCGTCAGATGCCCAGGCGCTGCCTGACCATCATGACGAGCAGGTCGCGCTGCACGCCGCTGCCCATCACCCTCTCGGCCAGCGCCTGCAGCTTGGGGATGTCGTGCTCGTGCTGCACCTGCGCATGAGCAGCGCACAGCCCCGGCTGCAGCGCGTGAGGCGCAGCCTGGCCGAGGACGCGACACCCACGCAGCAGCCGTGTGCCCCAGAGTGAGCAGGAGCAGCTGGCGCCGCATTCGGTGTCCTTGCGTGCTTGCCTGGCGCCCCTCCTTCTCCTGGAAGAGGCCGATCACGGTGTCTACCAGGCCCTCGTCCACATGAGCGGCATGCTGCTTGTCCCCAGTCCCGGCCTCCTCCGCGCGCGCTGGCGCCTCCTCCCTGCCGCCCGCCAGATAGTCGGCGGCCGCGCCCAGCAGCCCGCCGCCCTCGCGCTTCTTGTCGCCGGCCCCGGCCTCCTCGCCGCCGCCCGACAGGTACTGCTGCGCCAGCTCGCGTGCTTGCTGCAGGCAGGTGTGTCGAGGGGGATGAGGGCAGCTGCAGTGGGGCCCAACCTCAGCACGCCTTGGACACCCCCCCAGCTCTCACCTCCATTCTGCTGAGCTACTAGGAAACAGTGGCTGGTGGGCAGGAGGGCACACCCTCCTGATTCTCAAAAAGAAAGGCGTGAGAAGGGCATCTGCTGTGTGCTGGAGCCATGCCCCCTCGCTTCCCCCTATTTAGATTATGAGAGAAAGTAGAGCGATGCTGGCCACCTGCGCAGCGGCGTGGCTGCGTCGCGCGGTGGGAGGTGGGAGGCCCTGCGCTGCCGCGGCTCGCCGCCTGCTGGCGAGCGGCCCTGGCCAGCACCTGCCCGACCCAGCAGAGGGAGAAGGGGGCGTCCTGGAGTCCATGCAGGTGGGCTGGGCAGCAGCCGCGCCCGCCACCGCCGCCGTGGCCGCCAAGAGGGAAGCCGTGCAGGCACCCTCAGCAAGCTTGCCTGCCTTAGCAAGCTGGCCTGCCCAAGCGGCTCGCAGGACGTGCTGAGGCCTTCCTGGTGCAGCGGGCGCGCATACCACTACGCAGAGGACAGCGCCAGGGCGGTGCTGCAGGAGCAGGTGGCCAGCGGGGCGGGCAAGCCTACAGCCGAGAGCATGGATGCGCCGGCGGACGCGGTCGGCGACGAGCTGACGGCGCCTCACAACTGGCACTTCTCCAACCGCAGCGACCAGCTGGATGAGAGGCGGCAGCGGGAGCTGGCGGAGCAGAGCCGGAGCATGGATGGGGGAGCGGGGCGCTGAGGGGGCCAGGAGCAGCGGCAGCCACCAGGGCACGAGCCTCCCCCAGCCAACAGCCTGTCAACAGCCTGCTCTCCATTGCATTGGATGGTGTTACAGCCCAGGATGGTGCCCAATTACAACGCGGCAGCCACGCGCAGCGCAAGCAGGGTGGAACGGGCGCAGGAGCGAGGAGGGTGACATGGGAGGGAGCAGGAGCAGAACAGAACCGAGTGGGGAGAGAGAGCAGGGGGCGACCATTGCGGGCCGATACCAGAGGGAAACGAATGCTGTGCGGAGTCAATGGATGGGGGCAGGTGGGCCCCAGGTCGGGCAGGCCCCACCAGTACAGCTAACTGTCCCGACCAAAGGAAACCAGCCGGAGGGGTGGAGCGCGATACAGGTATTGACAGCGCGAGGCTGCGAGGCCGCCGCGCGCCGGCGGGGCCTGCGCGGCAGCGCCCTCACTGCGCCGCCGCCACGCCGTCTGCCTCCTCCGGCTGCAGCGCATCCAGCTCCATGGCCGTGCTGGCGGGCAGGCCGCCCAGCAGGTCGCCGCCGCCGCCGCCGCCGTCGTCCAGGCCCAGCAGGCCGGAGCCGGTGCTGCAGGCAGGGGGAGCGGGGGCAGAGGGCCGGGGGGCATCAGGTCGGGTCGGTGTGGGCCGGGGAGCGTGAGGCAGCTCGTGAGACCATCCATGAGGCGCAGCCAGGCAGCCATGGGGCCAGCAGGCTGCGGCAGCGGGGAGCGGCACCCTGCCGGCAGGCTGGGGCCTCGCAGCAGGCTGCCCCGCCCCCCACACACACATTCACTCACCCTCCCAGCATGCCCGACGCGCTGCGCGACAGCGGCAGCAGGTGAGCCATGGAGTCTCCCCGCGGCAGCGCCGCCAGCGGCATGCCCATCATCATCAGCGCATCCATGCCCAGGCTGGCGCTGTGAGGCATGGCGGGCAGGCCGCCCACCCCCTCCCCCTCCTCCCCGCCCCCGCCCAGCGGCAACGGCGGCGGCAGCAGGCCGGCCAGCCCGCCCACGCCGTCCAGCCCGCCGCCGGTCACGGGCGGGCAGGCGGGGGCGGGCTTGAAGGGCGACAGGATGGCGGGGCTCTGCTGGCCCAGCGCGGGCGGCGCCTGCAGCATCGCGTCCGACAGCTCCCCCTCCTGCTCTTCAGCCTCCGCCCCAGGCTTGATCTTGGCGCCTTTAGGGATGCAGCGAGGGGACAGGGGCATGGCGTCGCCGCCGGCGCGCGCGTCGCCGCCGCCGCCGCCGCCGCCGCCGCACCGCTGCCGCGCTTCGGCAGAGTCCGCCCCTGTGTCACCCTCCTCCTCCTCCTCCCCCTCGTCCTCTGCACAAGGGGTGGGGGCAAGGCAGCGCGTGCGGGGCGGCGCCGGTGGGCAGAGGTGGGGCGGGGCCCCAGGCCGGCAGGCAAGGCGCGAGCAGGGGCGGCGGCAGCGGCTGGGCGGCGGCCGGGGCCACGCCGGGCGCCCCCCTGCCTGAGAAGGCGCACCCAATCCAGCCCCCTCCAGCCCTTCGGCCCCAGGCTCCCTCCCCCCAGCAGGCCCCGCAGCCGCCCCCCCACCCACCGGACGAATCGCTGGAGGATGCCTCTGAGTCCGCCGGGTGAGGGCGCTTGTGGTGGAAAGGGGAGAAGTTGGCGGCCGATCCGCGCGCCAGGCGGTGCAGGCCCGAGGCGTGGCTGGAGCCCAGCAGGCGGGCGGCAGCGGTGGGGGAGGTGAGGCCGCCGCGCGCCGCCGCCGCCACCTCCTCCACCTGCCGCCGGCTGGGCAGCGGCGTGGGCACGCCCTTGACGATCGTCTGCTGCGCCTTGGCCAGGCGGAGAGACATGGCATCCAGGGCGCGCAGGCGGGAGCGGAGGCGGGCGGGCCGCGCGATCG